AGCTTGCCAAGGATATTGATAAATATATACATGAATTGAAGCTTGGTTTAAAAATGTAATTCTCTATAGATACGACACAGAGTATTTGACTTGGCCACTTCTTAATTCCGGAATTAGTTTTTAGCTATTGATATAAAATTAATATTTTGAAGAAAGAACTTTTGAGCTTCTCAATTTATTTTGTTATTGTTTAACACTTTCTCATGTTGTACGCAAAAAAGTAGGAAAAATTCGCCCCCGTTCTCCTGTGTCTGCTCTATCTCTTTGGAAGCTTGTAACTTTACAGTACGGATGCTCGCATACACTGTACAGTGACTGTCCCACTTTCTACGATATTTCATGATTGAGAATGAAACAGATTGACATATGTTATCGACATTTCCGGGGAAAAAATTAAACATTGCGTTATTTTGCTTCACTGTTATGTATTCATAACCCGTTTGTTGAGGTTACATGATACATCGTTAAAATTGTTATAAGTAAGACATATGTTACAAATTGATACAAATTTTTTGAACACTTTTAAAACATTCCGACCTAATATTATTTTACATAGGCATCGGAACCGGTGTGTGTGTGTGGGGGGGGGGGGGAGGGGGGGGCTGGGGTATTTGGAAAAAAAAATTGGTACTGAAATTCGAACCTAACCCCCCCCCCCCCCCCTCCAAATAGGATTTTCGTGTTTGTGAAAATGACATTCCCCCCCCCTTTTTCTTTCTTTTTTTTGCTTGTCAGGTTTTTTTTTTGAAGGTTTAATTTTTTTTACACTTAGTCCCCCCCCCCCCCCACCTTCAATTTGCTTCCGACGCCAATGTTTTAAGCATGATTTTTCTACCAAAGAAGAAAAAATAAGGTGAAGAGGTGACTTTAACGTTTTGGATTCCTGAAAACAAAATAATGTAACGCAGTCACCGGTGCATTTTAAGCCCTTTGAACTGAGAGTAGAATAACAGTTTACATTAAACATTTAAGAATTATAAATTTTCATTTTAATGATTTTATTTTAACCTTCAATATTAAGGATTTATTAAACCTGTAATAATTATTTCCCCGACAAAGATTTTACTACCAACATTTTATGATTTCACATCTACCATGGAAAATAATAATCTTGTTTCCTTCTGTTGAATTGTTTATGCATTTCAATTTATGAAAGTTTGCTACCAATTACACGTGATATAATATATGTAGCAAATTAAAACGATTTCAATATTTTTTTTTCCTGCAAGAGTCGCATTGTACATACATGCCACCGTCGGAAACCCACGGGTGATCTCGTCTTGTGATAAGTAAAGACGAGATCACCCGTGGGTAAAGACGAGATCACCCGTGGGTTTCCGACGATGCATACACGCCTACATTTACATACATGTACATACGTATATGGGGAGTTTTGTGCAAAATTATCAAAACGCTTTATGTTTTAATAAAAAGTTACAATTTAAGATTGTACATGTGTGCCTTGTTGTCGTCAAAGTCAATAAAGAATTTGTCTAATATTAGTTCAGGTAATTTATTAAGCGTGAATGTCCATAGCCGAGACACAGCCCCCCCCCCCCCTCTTTACGATAATGGTAGAATACGAAGAATGTGTTACCCATTCTCTTACTTTCTGTTGCAATTTTTAACATGCATGTTTTAAACAATACTAAAAAGCAACTAATATTTGATATGATTAAAATAAATCATAATGTGTGCATGTACTTTCTCAGGAAGGTAACGGTAAAGTTTAGGATAGACCTTATAGCCCATGTCTAGAAATGAATGTAAATGAGTGTGTTACTTGTGGGATTAATGTATATTCTGATGTTGTGGTTTGTTATTCGGTTAGAATACAATAATCGGTCAGAATTAATTCATGGTCATCCTCATAATGCATATAAATTGCAGAATTTCTTTTTCAAACCATATTTTTAAAAATATACATATTTTTTATTGGATGGGGTGGGTGTTACATTAGTTACGAAATGATTCTAAACAGATTTCTTTTCAATAATTTAACCATAAATATAAAATAAGAAATCGAGGGCCAGGAAAAATTAATCAAATGTTTAAAGATTTACAAGAAATAATGGTTTAAACTTTAATTTAACACTTTAAAATTTGATGCACCTAATCTTAATTGTTTTTGATTTGAACACGCATTTATTGAGATATACAAAAGGATTGGAAACAAGTTTGACAACTTATACAAGTTCCTCGTGTGAATTAAAGACTGATTTAATAACGACATCCAAAGAAGAAAAGGATTGAACTCTACTACAAGAGACAAATACAATTTATTCCTGAATGCTGAATATCTTATCAATGAGCCAAAAAGTCTTCAGAGATGATGCACTTTTTCCCCGTAGTAAAACATTCGAAATTAAAACATGTAAATACATATAGTAGACTGGTAAAAGAAATGTGGTATCCTTTAGATGAAAAAAAAACCCCTATCGTACTCTTTAAAAACGCAGGTATTTAAAACGTAAACTATGACCAAAAAATTCTTTTTATATACTGTGTATTGTTTAGACTTTTAATGCCCGGGGGAGGGGGTGTTAGGGGCTGTCTCGAACTTTTTTAAGATAACTACTTTGATAGTGTAAAAGAGACAATTAAGTGCCTCTGCTTAATTGGGGTTGAACCCGAGGCCTCTGGCTTGCCAGTCCAGTGCTCTACCAAATGAGATTAAAGGTTACCATGCTAGCCCAAGCTCGTTTAGGAAGATGAGCAAATATAGTTTGTACTACCACAATAGGATCTTTTTTATCTAAATTTTGCCTATTTCTTTTTACTGTTGTCTGCCATTTTCTTGCAGTAAAAAGACATAAATTGGAATAGCTTTTAGAGGAAAAGAAGATTTTTGATTTGAGTGACGTTTTGTTCGATCTGTTGCCCTTGTCAATCATTTCCGTGCCCCCCCCCCCCTTTCTTTTCATTTTTCAAAGATATAGTTTACAATGTTTATTTCTATCATTACGATTAAAAATCTTAATTATTGATATTTTTAAGGGAAACAAATCAAATGTTTGAAAATATATATCATCAAATCATGACATGCATATAGCGATTACGATTATTTTACGTTATGAAAATTCATGAAGTTACGCACGCGTACACTGTACGTCAAAGTAAATTTTCTGTCTTTGTCGTGCGATATTTTATACATTTATATGTCATGTTATACACAGAAATATATGTCATGTTATACATCAAACGAAAGAGAAGGAAAAACTCTACAAGAATCAATAAAAAACTGAAAATGTCAAAATTCTTCGTTAAGGGAGGTTTTTGCTTGGCGCGTCACATATATATTATTGAGGAACGTTTCATCTGTCCTTAAAGTACAAATATTTTGATAAAATATATTGAACAATATTTGTCCAGAATGACAAGATCTTTAATATGATACATGTATCAAGATAAAAGCGCTGACTCATTATATTAGGGGCCGAAAGGGGCCAAAAGCCTTTATTGAATAACTCTTTTGCTATCAATATATTTCTATACATTACTAAATCAAAAATATCTATCACGTAAACAATCTACAACAACATAATATGTTTTTCTCGCCAATCTACAACTATATATTATGATGATTTTTCTTTCGTATGTAACATAAAGAGGGACCAAAAGAAGCCAAAATGCTAAATCTTTGACGCTTTATCTCGAAAGTGGGAAATATTTTAATAAGTAATATTGAACAAAAGGTGTTCAAAATAATGTTCTGAACAATATTCAACCTTTCATTTTTCGCTTAACATCCCCATTAAGGAGATGAAGAGTCGGGCCCTAAATATTTCTTTGGCAAATTTCTCGGAAACGGAAATGAATCTATGAAAAGTTGTTGATCAAAAAGTGTACAAAATCCTGAGAGCTGTACGGTAAAATCTAGAAAATGGGGCTGGACACTCAAATTAGAGTCCGAGAGGGGCCAAGGACTTTGATAGATAACTCTTTAACAGTCAATATTTTGTTTTAAATTACTGAAGTAAAAATGTTTAACTCAAGAATCTACAACTACACGTAATTTTTATGATTTTTATGTCATATGTTTCATAAATAGGGGTCACAGAGGACCAGAATGCTAAATCTATTAATGCTTTATATCACGAAAGTGGGAAATATTGTGAAAAGTAATATTAAACAAAAAATGTTCAAAATAATGTTCTGAGCAATATGCAATATTTTTTGCTAAATGTCCCATTTAGCAGTTGAGGGGTTGACTCCTAAATATTGCTTTTGCAAATATCTCGGAAACGAAAAAGAATCTCTGAATAGTTGTTGAACAAAAAGTGTTCAAAATCCAGAAAGCTTTAAGATGATACAGTATGAAAAAAAGGTTGATCCCTCATATTAGGGTCCAAAAGTCGAATTTATGTCTTTAATGTTCAATATCTTCTAACACATCATGGAGTCAAAATCGTTCATTTTAACAATCTTTATCTAATCTCAGAAAGAATGGACGGAAAACCTACTCGTTGCTCACAAGGACATCGTACATGTATCGAGTTACAATACTGTTTGTTAAGTAACACAGCTTGTATTGCAATGTTAAGCCTTATTTTAGCATTGCTTTGTTTTTATCAATTGATATTGGACTTGATTACGTGTATAACATTATTCGGACTACATTACTTAAAAATATGATAAATATAAATTTATACACATTACATGTAAAATATGTGTCAAAAATCATAAACTTGGAGAAGATGAAATTATTCCACCTAGATCTCGAGAAGTTCAATGAAATAAGCTTTGCGTTCCTCTAATACATAATTATATGTGTACCTAGACCATATAAAAAAACACCGTATGCTTCAATGGCTCTAGTTGTATTAGAGTGGTCTTTAATTACAAAACCTATCAATATCTCTCTCAGTTGTGAGCTTTAGGCAGGTCCAATTTGATGCAATTTATATCTAAATAAGTTTAAAAATGTAAAAAAAAAAATGGATAGCAAAGATAACAGGAACACTCACGGCATTCATAATCATAAAAAGATCCAAATGTACCTCATAGACGAATGGAAGTTTGAGTTTGGGTCATTGTTTTTTGGAGATTCTGTATTGTTTTGGGGAGCAGGCTCATCTCTTCCATTCTTTTCTGTTGTACTTGGAATTTCCTTTGTGGTAATATTGAAACAGTCTGCATCTGTAATACATGTACTTAATCATTTTATTTTATTTTCAACAGAGAAATAATTGATTTTACAATCAGTCAAACAAATCTGACTCTTCCCCCAGGTCATTTCACCCCCATTTCAATCTTATCCCCCCATCCCTTGTACAATTTATCATAATAAATTCATAAGTTCACATGAGGATTTAAATGTATATGTATTTTTTTTCATTTCCGTGTAAAATCAAAATACATGTAACTCAAACTTTACAATTAATCATTATACTTGCTGAAGAGACTTTGCAACGATATTTTTAACATAATAGGCATATATATGACAGCTATTGTTTTTAAAAGTACACCAATTAATTTTAATCTAATTTTACTTAAAACAAGGAAATTTACAATCTGTGAAAGTGAATTGAGTCTAAAGCCTGAGTGGTTTGGAGTATATCATTTTATATATAGATTATTTCATCTTCCGAAAATCAAAAATGTACTTCATTAAATGCACGTGCCAGGAAAGGAAAAGTACTTGCAGGTATTGTTCGTAAATAGCGCTTAATATGTAACGGTTAATACTAAAACATATGCACTAATAATTTAATCAAAGTTGTAACACGACATTTGATTGGGTAAAAGATTTAATCCATTTTGTATACCATAACCTGCCTAGTCACAATGAGTCCGCTTTACATTTACTTTAAAAATATACTAAATTTAAAGCCTTTTTCCGGAAGAAAAATTGTCTTATTGTCTACACTTAAATTAGATTATAAAGAATGAGGCCTATTTCATCTCATGTTCTATGATATAAAATAACTTTGGGCAATTTATGCTTTTTAAGAAATTACATTAGAAGAAACATACAGTAATACTTAAAGTGTCCAGGGTGGTGGTATATAACATACGACCGTCTACATCGTGACTACTGAATACGCCGAACAGTTACTATGTCTGCCGCTTTATATAGGGGTTCACTGATTTTACAAATCGTCTTCATCTTTTAATATAATCTACTGACGCATCAATCTTTCCATTGGAGCGTAAAAATTAAAACTGCACTACCTGGGGATGCTTGCACAAATGATGCAACGAGAGAGAGAGAGAGAGAGAGAGAGAGAGAGAGAGAGAGAGTTTGCTGGTCTGCATGCATGTTATTTGTAACAGTATGAAATCATAAGTGTCAATTTGGGCCCAACCCGCGATCCAATTTTTTTTTTCATGGATTAGAATCTTCTAAAACAGTTCTTTCATTATATAGTTTAACATTATAGACCAGAGGTTTGGGGCTGGGTTATGCAAAATATAAAAAAAAAAAAAGCTTAATATCTTGGTCATTTTTAAAGAAATTTTCAAGATTAGAGGGAAATGACGCAAATCAGGGCGTCATAATACATGGACAAGAGAAAAATTTAAGTCATTTTTAATTGATATGATGTCACCAAGGATCCAAGTGAAATTTAAGATATTATCAACTAAAAATGAGCAGTTCTGATTTTTCAGATAGTCACAAGGCCAAAAAAGCCCAAGGTGATTTTTGTTCTTTACATATTATAAAATCTGATCTGTCAGAATGACCATATGTTTATTTTAGCCTTTCGTTTTATTTTTTCGCGTTTTTTTTCGCCCACTTCTCAATTGAAATTATACCCAACCTGACTGCCCAAAAGTGTGTTATTACATTTTGCGTTCTTGCCTTTTTCTTAATTTCTTAATCTCGACGCAAATGTAATAACGCAAAAAGTTATAATCCAAAAATCGTGTTATAACATTTTTCGTTACTACATTTTGTTTTGATTTAATTTCAACACAAAATGTAATTTCATTAAGTAATCCTAAGAACTGTGCTATTACATTTTGCATTTTTACATTCTGCGTTGATTATGACGCAAAATATAAAAACGCAAATTACAATAATCCTGATTTATTACATTCTTGCATTGTTATTACATTTCGCGTTGTAACAATGCACTTTGAAAAATGTGTATGGCTTGGCCAAAAATTCTCGCAAATTTTAGGTTTAGTAAATAATTTAACCTGGTTAGATAACTTTTGGGGTCGCTTATGACCTGAGATATAGACGTTTTAAATATTTTAGGTTCTTGTAAATGTCAAAATAGGGAAAGGGACCCTTTAGAAATAACGGAGAAACGATTGTTTAATAGTATAATTTCGGTAGATATAGTGGGTCGACTTATAGCATCGTCTTTTTTTCTTAAGAAAAAAATGAGCAATTTTGATTTTTCCATACTACAAAAATTCTTTCTCTCTCGTACGTTTTACAGTACTTAGAATTCTCTCATTTTCTTCTATTTTAAGTTAACTGAAATATATATTTCCGAAGTCAAACCAGTAATGTAAATAGTATAATTACATATAGACTAGTATTTGGGTAAAGCATAGACATCGGAACCGGTAGGAATGGCTTAGTCTCCCTCTTGTTTCGCAAAGTTATACTTGTACATATTAGGCATTGAAAATCGGGGCTTATTTTTTTTAATATTTTTGTGTGTGTCGAAATAAAACCTCATCAATATTAGATGTTCCGAATCCATTATAATTGCTGAGAAGTGGTAACGGATCTGAAACAACTGACATTAATTAGAATATTACGGACCTTTATCGATCTCTTTGTGAAAATCAACGAGAATTGGGAGGGGTGTGTATAAAGTACGAATTTCCTTATCTTAAACATAAATATCGTTGTACATGTATATGAAACATGATTCATATATCAAAACAAGTATTTATATATTTATCAAGCCTTCCTAAATTTCAAGTGCAAGCTAAGTTTCTTTTCATTAAGGGAGAGCTGTCACGGTTTCGGAAGATTACGCTTCGTCAACTTGCAGTTTTATTTCACTTTCTTTACTCTAAAAATGGCCAGGTTGTTGAGTGTAAGAAAAAAAGAATTTATTTTTCCTGCAGTTATCGTTTCGAAACATGGATATGTACAGGGGTATTTGCAACATTTAGGAGACCTTGCGGAATTGTAGACTTCTTCTAAAAAATATCAGATTAAAATATCGGAGGCCTGCAAATATTCTGGCATTCAGGATTTAAGCACATGAAAACATTTCTACTACAATGAACATATGTTAATACAGTGACGGTAAATGTATATATTCTAAGGCAACAAAGATCTCTATGTACTTTATGAAAATCACAAACTAAGCATACTTACATTTATATGTATCAACTGATGAGTAACTTTCAATCGGACAAGGTTTTGAAAATTTTGTACAATCAGTTTGATAATTTTCCTGTATAACACCTCCTCCTTCGTTGTATTCTGCACAATGTCCTAAAATAAGAAAAAATTATACATAACATTCATATAGATATTAGACATAATCCTATGGTGTCCTAAACTTGTGCAGTGTAATCAACAAACTCAAGTCTTAGAAATTGCTTTCGTGCATCGATCAATTTTAACCTATAATTATATGTTTATTTATTCCTTTAGTTTAATTATTTTTTCACCTTTATTATTTTGCATTGACAGAGGTTGTAGCTCTTTACTAGAACAAACTTGAATTTTTTTTCTCATATATGTTTTGTGGCCAACTTCAGATTGTTTAAAACTACCCAGTGGTTCTTGGGAAGATGTCGAAAATGAAAAAAAAAAAACCAGACAAAATGTGATCAAAACAGATTGAGCTTTCTGCTCAGGAAAGCTAAAAAATTACATTTTTTCAGAAAAATTAATCCAAGAATTTACCGTATATAATGTCGACAGCTACACCACACACTTCAACGAATTTATCTAGGTAATGATTGGGTAAGCAGTGATATTTAAATAAGTCTAAAGATGTGCAATTCTGAGGAAAGGATGAACAATTCTTGGCGCGACTGGCTTGATCAACATCTGCCATGTTTAGGGGACAAGAGGACACATATTTGACCGTATCCTTTGTCTCAGGACAGGAAAGGATCAGCTGAGTACTAACAACCTGTAAAAAAAATAATGACTTTGTTTAAGCATTTGACATTAAGGAACAGTAATATACCTTATTAATTAAATGACTTACGTTCGAATAAACCCACTCCAGTATAAGAATAAAAATAAAGATACTACCGACAATTTTATTCATTTTTTTGAAACGTAAATTGACTTGATGACCAGTTTAGGAATTTTAACCTGAATTTGTATCAATTATAATCTTATTTCTTTAATTTAACTGTTTTTCTCTTCTAATGGTAGAAAAAAATAATTAAAACCCGTGGCAAAAACATAGACCTAAAGAGGACTACCCCGGTAATAGATGGTAACATAATGGGGTAAGAAAGACAACTCTGTAATACGCTTTCGCATTCAAAATGACGCAGGTTTAAAAAGAATTGTCTACCTTTTAATGTTTCAGCCTGCATAAAATTAATTGCTTCAGTATTGTAAAACACATGTTTTTTGTTAATATTTCAGAATGATGTGCTACATGTACAGAAAGTATGCACTGGGAGTGGGAGTGCAGGAGTCTGCCTCCAATCCTCATTTTGCAAAATATATTCATAATCAATATTAATTTTGTCATTGATACATGAATTTCCTTTTTGTTGATGCACCCTTAATTTTCATTTTTCAAAAGCGATACCGTGTGCAAGGAAAATTAACAAAGATGCAGGGATCTGTTTCAGACCAATCTGATTAAAATAATATTTTTTCCGAAATTCGCTTTACAGAATCTGCACTGTATCAGAATTTCAGAGCGTAGGACAGATCTGGTTTTAATCAGATTAATTTACAGCAACTAAAATAAATTTTTTAGTAGTTAAGGAATTTTTCTCAGAAAGTATGTGTAATTTTAAAAAAAATGGCAGAGCTATGAAAATTCATACAGTGTAATTGAATATATTTTACTGAAATGAAAAGAACTGAACTTCATTTATATAAATGTACGAGTATAATAATTAAAAAAAAAATATCTCAAATATTTTAGTTTAGTATTAGAATGTTTTACCAACTTAAAAAAAATATCCGAATTTAGTTTAACCGAGTTTAATCTGTTTTCAGTGTAAGTAGGTAGTAGGGAAAACGAAACTTTATAATTTTTTTTTTATTTCCTAAGATGACATTACAGGAGAGTGAAACGACAACAGGAAAATGTTATGACAAATTAATACCACTTTTAAGTAATAATTTCTTGTAAATACATGTATATATACCGGGTATTAAAAAAACTTGATTAAGCCAAAGAATTTTAGTTAATTATCGAGCTGAACCCCCCCTCCCCTTTTTTTTCAAATAGTTTCAAATGATGGGTTGCTTTCTTTCAAGTGATTTATTTGCATGATAAAATCTGAGTTTGCAGCTTTTGAAAACTCTCCATAGTGCATTATCAGTGATTTATTGCAACTGACATCCAGAAGTAAGCCCTCAGAGCTTTGGTAACGATACATACATGTACACATGTGGTAATGTTTACGTGTGATATTTAATGACATTGAATGTTCTTCGTGCATTCTGAAGCATTAGGCAATACTTGAGGTATAGGTCAGGGATAAATGGAGGTGCCCCACAAAACTTTAGTAGAATTGCTAATATAAAAGTCATGTCTGTTGTCTCATATCGGCGCAATCTATTTCGGAATTAAGCTAATAATCTCTGGAATTTAAAAGCCTTGTAATCTTGCATCGAGTGAAATGCACTTGGCGTTACACATTGTTCTCGTTTCGTACATAAAACAGTTCGCCTACTCTAAAGCTTATAATTTTTCTTTTAAATCTCTGTGATCTCATTTTTTAACCGGGCTTATTGCTCAAAGAGCAATTGCCGGCTATGTCATCCTGTTCAAGGCAGGAAGTCAACCCCATAGTCGCAATTTTAAAGTTACGTGCAAAAATATAGTTCTTACTCTCAACCGCTTTTGAGATAATACAATCCCTAAATAAAACAACAATCTATATAAATGAACATTAATTGTAATAACTTTGAAAACTTCAGTCCTAAGTATAAGAACATAGTTCAATAGCGTAAGGATTTTTGATAATCAGTGTTATCGTAGTTCTCTACACATACCAGGTAAAACAGGAGAGGGAACCAGTCTAGACTGTTTGTTTACATTCAGCTGCGGTACCAGATTAATTCTGATTCTTACAAAATCGGGCCATGGTATTAGGATTGAAAAACTCACTGTCAGTGTCTTATCATTTATATTGATAGTTTTAAACTATTTTTTTCATCAGAATATAAACGTATGATTCATGTACGAAATTAATTCTACTCTGTAAATGAGCCAGGCTCTCTGTACTTCTGAGTACTTTGATTTCTTACTCTTAACATTTTGTCCTTTAATAAGATGCCCAATGGCCTTGACTGTCACCTGAGTATAACATAACAATTTAGAGAATACATAGAGTATCTTAAAAACCTGATAGATGGAGTTATAACTTTTGTTTCGTCTTTTAAAATTATTTATCTATTTTTTACAAGTCTACCTCACCATTAAAACAGTGGAAGTATATTAAAATTTAAAATTAATATTATATAATAACTAGAGTATTGCAAGGAACGCATGTGCTGCCTCCTTTTAGCTTCTTAAAGATGTAACTAAATTAAGAGTGATTAGTTATCTGCTACATACTACTAGTATAATAATTCACGCAAAAAACAAAATCCACAAATAATAAGACTGCACTAGAATCTGACAATAAATAGAACAATGAATCCCTTATGGTACATCCCTCCAATCTAAAATCATTCATGGATATTGATGAAATTTAAATTATTATTAATCATTTTTTACTATTTTCATAGCTGTAGTAAAATTCAGTTTTTTGTGGTAAATGTATTTCATACAGTGTCATAGTACATTATAATTATTTTCAGAGCTCATAAACATGGATAAATATCAAATTCCTGGCCCAGCCCTCTAAATTCAAAACATTACAAGTTAAATTTAACCCCTCTGCAGTATATCTTGCAAATTAAAGTACATGTAGCTCAAAGGTCAGGGTCAAGTGGATTTTAATACTGAAATTTTCAAAAATGTTTCAGACAAAAAAATCCACATCCTAAATACATGTACATGTAGCACAGACTTACATGTACCTCCTAAATGTCAAAACTAAATCATACATAAATAATAATTAATATGCACATGTATATCAGCACTTTCAGCTATTTCAAAAAGTAAGTCAAAGTATCAAAGACCAAGTTCAAGGACAACAAAGTCAAAAACAATGGTAAAACACAAAAGCTTGTAGTACATGCACGTCAAGCTATGGCCCAGGGACTTTGCTTGTCATAAGCAGACTCTTTGTTTAATACATTGGGGGAAAAGAGATGCTCTTTGAAGAACTAAGGCAATATCACTATTTAATCAAAAGAGCCCCAACTTAACTCCTGAATACCTTACCCTGGTGCCATGAATTTCACCAAATAATTTGACATTTTAAAAATTACATTAATTATAATTCAATTGCTTTTGCTGACCTTCAGACCCCAGAGGCACATGGGTAACAAAATTCATAATTTTTGTATCCCTCTGCATAAGGATGCTCTCTACCAAAATTTGTTAAATTTGGGTCAGAGAAAAGGCTGAAAATGTTCAAAAGTTTATCCATGGTAAGGGTATATGAATGTCAAATAATGCACAACACCAATGGATGGAAAAAGTCACTTGAGATTCAGTTGACCTAAAAAGTTATACATTTACAATAGCAAATAATCATTATTGTACTAAAACATGATATAGAAAAATATATGTAACAATATTTTCTGAAAAGTTTGTTCATGTTTGCAAAACTTATAGCAACAAGAGGCCCATTGACCACATTGAGAATCTGACTAACTTTGGTAATGCGTTCTTTAACAGATTTTGCCTTTGTGATACCTATTGCGGCTCCACCATCCCCCCTGTTAATTATTTTAACAATTTAGAATCTACACTGTAACCCCTGGATGAGGATGCTTCTACATCAGTTTCAGCTTTTCTGGCCAGTTGTTCTTGAGAAGATTTTTAAAGATTTTCCCTACATATTTCAATGTAAAAATTGAATTCCATATTGTGGCTCTGCCCTAACCTGGGAGTCATGATTTTAACAATTTAGAATCTACACTATTGCAATTCACTTCCATTTGAGTTTCACTATTCTGTCCCAGTGGTTCACCCTATTTTTGTCTTTTCTTGATTATCTCCCCTTGTAACAGGACTTGGCCCTCCATTTTAAGAATCTAAACTCCCTAGTATCATCCAAGCATGGTTTGTACTATGTTTGGTTAAAATTGGCACAGTGGCTCTTGAGCTAAAGGTGAAAATAAGAAAAGTTTGTAGACGGATGGACAGACACAAAATGGGTGATCAAAAAATCTTTAATACTTCAGCTTTCAGCTCAGGTGAGCTAAAAAGTTTTAACAGTGACTATGCAACAGGTAATTATACAAAACGCAAGAATAAGGTATTTTGATCTAAATCAATTATGCTCAACAATTATGACAAACATCAGATGAGTTCAGGCATATCAAGGCACAAAATATAATTATGAAGAAATTACACTGCCGTCCAATTACTTCTCTAAAGAGTAATTAATAATACATCTAGACTACGTGTATTATTAACGGTTATTATGATATAATAAATCCTTGTTACAGATAAAAGAGTCTAAGTGTCTAATATATATGTAAATGAACAATGGGAAATGCTTGGGCATGATTTAGTTACATTAATGTGACATAAGTACGATGCAAGGACAGAGGGTATCATGAGATTCTTATAGTTTTTTTTTTTAAGTAAACAATGCAACCTTGACCTGGAACTCTGGATTTTGTGACATAAATATCAAACTCTGAGGGGGAGTCATGGACACACAGCATTAAACTTGTATACTTATTTAAATTCTGAATGAAAAACAGGATTTTCTGAGACAACTCTGCTGTCACCCAAGAATAATACAACCCAGAAAATGATCATCTTCTCTACATGAAATGAGTTGTAATCTTTCCAGATGTTCTTGGGAACAAATTTTGCACTTTGTGTTCCCCTATGATGCTAAAAACAACAATCACTTGCCATCTCATACTTTTTCCCCACCAGGTATCCCACTTAATTTTCCCCTTTGATGATTAGACATTAAAATAGAATAGCCTATTAATACAACCTATTGCAAATGTAGCTTTGTAGTTCTTGAGAAGATTTTAAAAGATTTTTGTATGTAATTCCTATGTTAAAATTTGATGGCAATTGTGACCCCTCCCTATACCACGGGGGATAAAGATTTAAACATACTTGAGTCTACCTGAAGGTGCATCCATTTTAAACTTCTTCATTTCATCCTAGTTATTTTTAAAATGAAGATTTTTTTTTTGCTTATGATTCTTATTCATTAATTTGTAATCATCTTTTATTTGTTTTTAAAGCCAATGCCCTGTATTTGACATGTTTGATCAAACTTAAATTCCTTTTAGCCAGAATAATTTGTGGAAAATTTGATTATATTTTTTTTTGGAGGGGGGGGGGGCAGCCTTACATTCATCTAGAAGTAAAAAGAATAATTCAAATCAAGCAAGTTGGTCCAGTTGCTGTGATTCTTGATAAGATAAAAATATGCATGTAAAAAATAAGTTTACACATGGACTAATAGCTAGATTGACAGACGGACACCAAACAAAAAATGATCATAAAATAAATTGAATTTAATTTAATTGTTGGGTCTGGTGAGCTAAAAACTGTTTAAATTTGGCTCTGCATGCCATTGCATATTCGTCATAAGGCAGAGTGGGTGGGCATTGACGAAATTAGAAACATATCTAGTGAATGCTTCAATTGCATTGATTTCAAGGTAAGAGTAATCTCTCCAAGATTAATTAACTGACAAGGCTTGAACATGAGCAAGATATATGACTAGTTAGCTGGAAGAAAAGCAAATAAAGGAAAAAGAGACTGAAAAAAACACAATGGCACTAATAAACCGTGAATTTTTTTAAACCACTTACCTGAAAAAGAAGAACCAACAATAAGAATGTTATTCCTATTTTCCAACAACCAAACACATTTCTTTTGCCTATAAAATAAAATGAAATTTAAGACTTTATGCTAAAAGCCTTGTTACATGAACTTATCAATAATGTCAATGTGTGATCATGAATTGATTTAAATGATTTTATTATTACTGCACTGATCAACAAAGTATGAAGTCCGTATCTGTTAACTACTTTCATAATTCACATTAAACCTACCAGTAATAATTTTTGTCTCAATAAATTGCAAATGTTTATAATGTGTTATAATTTGTTCCATTGATTTTAAGGATCCAAAATCAGTCAGTAAGAATTTTTCAATTGAAAAATCAAAGATACACAGTGTATAAAATTTAATAAAATGATACTTTATCTTAATATTATCAGTGATTATAATCTGATCATCAATGACTTTTGGGTACACATGAACATGCATCATGGTTTGGTAGTGGGTACAACACTTGCATTGAATGCAACAGAATCAATAACCAACATTATAGTACTATTAGTAAGTATACCTAATTGTATACATTGGTATAAGTAGATTTGATTCATCTATAAATGAGGTCATTTGGTCAAAAACTATATCTGTATTGCCAATTGTAAAAATATTGAAAATTACACAACTTTGACAATAATATGAAAATTCTAATCTATAAATTTAAGCTCTTTCTTGACCATGATGTCGAACACAGTTAATTCTTATAGATCTCAGAAGAACATGTACATGTAAGTAAAACTTAAACACTTCACTTACATGCAGCATGTTTGGAATGATTCCTAATGAATTAATGCTTACAAAATTCAATAAGTAATTTTCATTCCCAGTGTCTAATAACATGAATAAGTGATATGTTTCATACTTAGCTGAAAGTATTTTTTATATTGAAAACTTGTTAATTTTCTGTGTCCTAAAAATTGAGTACATATTTAATCTTTTTACCTTCAGAAAATGTACTTTGGGGAAGATATTTCCTTAATTTAGCCCCATCTGACTTGCACACACATATTTTCTCCTTTGTATACTTGTCACTTTCACCACCATCTCTTTCATTCCATTTCACAGTGGTCTTTAATTTATTTAAGTCTTCTATGAAACATGTAACATGATCAGGTGTTCTGGTGGTATGATGAATGGCAAAGGATTTAAGGATTGTCTTTTTCTGTTCTTTGTAAACAGCTGAGAAATAATCTCCCAGAACATGAAGAAGTAAAAGTTGTTTCAACCAGAGAGTATATTCTTGAACATTTAGAGCAAATGCACATATGAAGACCTCACTCAGTACACCTGTACTACAGGTAGTTGTAGATGATGGACAAGTTAAGCAAAGAAAAATATCTGTCTTCCATAGATGAAATATCCTTGGGCATTCCAGTATATCATCGTCAAAATCTGAAGATACCACATGATATTGTTTTATGGAAAAATCCAAAATGTATTTCGAGATGCATCTGCGTAGAACTGGAAATGGGCATTTTATTTTAATAAGATCCAGGCAAAGCTTTGGTTTGAAATACTCTCTGGATTGACCCATGGCCTTGGATGAATATTAAATCAACCTGAAAATGCATAAATTTAAGAAATTCTTATTAAAGTTAAAAAAAGCAACACACAAGGCCCATAGGCCTCAACTCACTGAGTATTTTTGACCTCGATCATTATTCTTCATACTGGGAGCCAAGGAAGATTAATAAGACTTCTTCATTGTAGTGAAAAAGACTACACATTCCTTCATCATCCTTTAAGTAGTAGTAAGTTTTCCGAAACGTTTAAATTAAACAGGTACAGCGCAATCTCTTTTTATATAGGCCTAGCTTGAAATAACTACATATGTAAGTTGTATATCCGCGAAAATACAGAACTACATGTATATATGACTAGGATACAATACTAATACACTGAATATATCTGGATATACTACTGAAAACAATTTTAGCAAGGAAAATCGATACTTCTGTATGTAATGAATTTAACTTTGGAATACTTAGCTGCAGATCTTTGATATGTCGCGTTATGGTTTTATACATTATCGTTAGTCTTTGACCAAAAGTAGACCGAGATCTGCAGCTAAGGAATACTGTGATTTAAATGATTCTTATTACATAAACCATGTCTGCTCACCGTAGATCTGGAAGTTGGCCCAATGGCTGTTCAAAGATTCTTTGAAGGATTCCATGGATTCCGATCCCGATGTACAATTGTGAAAATCTACAGTGTACATGTATGAAGTTTATTTTCTAGCTAAGTAGAACAGTGTTTTCTTAGCTTACATAATTATATATAGATATATATAATTCAAAGCAAACTTTTAAAACAAATTATTTGTTCTCTACTAAAAACAAACGAAAACAATTTAAAAAAAAAATTACTTTTATGATTAATTCTTGAAATATATAAGTTATTTCATTAATTTTAACATTTCATCTTTACATGTATATGAGGATGTGTACGTACATGTGTTTGTTTTGAATAATTTGTAGAACAATGCATTTCATGGGCGTCGGAAGCAAATTGAAACTGGGGGGGGGGGGCTAAGTGTAAGAAAAATTTTTTTGTACCTCCAAAAAAACCTGACAAGCAAAAAAAAAAAAAAAAGGGAAATGCCTATTTCCAAAACACGAAAATCCTATTTCGTGGGGGTGGGGGGGTGGGGGGGGGGGACAAGGTTCGAACTCCAGTACCAAAAATTTTCTTCCAAACACCAACACCTTTACCAATTTTTACCTATACTAAGACGTATCTGTGGAAAGTGGGGGGGGGGGGGGGGGGGGGGGGGGGGGGGGGGCTAAACTTACGAAGATATGTTCAATGTCTATACTACGTATGTATTTGGAAAAAAGTGGGGGGGGGGGGGGCTAGCCCCCCCCCCCCCGGTTCCGACGCCTATGCATTTATAATACTGGAATTATTCATAATTCTGCCTACAGAATCATGCTATTGTGTACACGTACCTCAATACACTGCTCTAGAGCTATGTTAATTGTTTGTACTTGTAACCAAAGAATCGACTCTTACATTTAGAAACTATAACCTTGAATAAATGGTCCCATGTGAAGCTAGAACATAACGTAAACAAAAAAAAAACTTGATTGATATTTACTACAATTTATTACACACTTAGTAATAAATACAGGTTTTTTGCATATGCGATATGGCTTACGTCACAATAGCCGTATCAGCAGTGCAGGGCTGATATGGATTTGCGGGGCTGATAACCTATATCAGCCCCGCAAATCCACATCAGCCCTGCAGGGCTGATACGGCTATTGTGACGTCAATATCACACCCTTAGTAAATTAAACCACAAAAACAGTACTTGTGATCGTACACAATTTTTGGTGGGTTCATATTCTCTTAATTTTAAATGTTTGAAAATAAGGTTAATCTTAATTTACAAATACATGTAATAGATTATTTTAAATTACGGATCAAGTGCATTGAAATAGAAGTAGAAACAAACCCAAATCGTATGAGACAATAGACCATGTATATTTCTGTAAGAAGTACATGCATGATTATTTACTTATTTTCTACTCGTAAATAGGCATAGTCCGCCATATTTCTCGTTCTTCAACGCTCTCCCTACAACTCGTATATAAGGAGCAGTAGCCTTTTTCACAAAAATTCTTACGACTAAGATTAAAATTTGACAGCTCAAATAATTCTTTGGTTAAAAAAGAAAATTATTATTTCAGACGAATAATTCACAGTTTACTGTAATGTAATAGAAATATAAGATTTTTTGTTACCTACTACAATTTAGGAACATATGGAAAAATTGGAAAAAAATAATCTGAGTCGTAAGATTTTTTGTAAAAAGGGCTACAGATCGCTAGTCAGTTCAATGTATTTTACTATGGAGATCCGACGAGTGCAGACGTACATCTAACAAAGCGTGCTACTCAATATCGATGAAATTATCAAATTTTACGTATTTTTTCCAAAACAGGACAAAAGAATCATGGAAAATACAGGTTAATACATTATTTACAAACAGAAAATGCACATGAAAACAAGAAATAAACGCAAAAAATCTAAGACCACGATAGGAGTACTACATGTCGGCCACGAGTTTCGAGTGTGCAATCGGGTGTAACGAAAGCGAAGGGTTTATATACCTGTCTGACAGTGCCTATTTATGAGAAGTGTTCAGCTTTAATGTGTTCTGTATTTTATTACTATAAGTATGTAATAAATATAATAAAACATACCCTTTTCCACATCACATCCTGTATCAGCCCTCAACCAATATCAGCCCTCGGGCCTTCGGCCCTCTGGCTGATATTGGTGTCTCGGGCTGATACATGATGTGATATGGAAAAGGGTATGTATTATTCTCTATGTACAGTCGTTAAATAATCATGATACTATCATTCCAATAACAGCGTGTCACTTTGCTTGATCAAGCGTGGTAAAGTTTCACATGATGATTACCATATTACTCATCGATTGGATGTTTGATTTCAATGAAAGCAATACTACTTTGCATATGAAATAGAGAACCCCGCAATACCATTTACAATACTGACCAATCGTGTTGAATGATTGTTAACGAGAATGCAGTAAACAATAATCACATGTGGAGAGACAAAGCAAGTCTTTATCCTTATAATGATGGAATTGATCGCTGCAATATAATATTTATTTATTTATAATAATTTTAAAGTTTAGCCATACTTATTTCATGCTTTTAATATTCTCATACGTATCAAAATTAACTGCATTCGGTCAAATCACAACAAATGTGACACGTGCTTTTAGATGAACAGTAAACGGGCTTTGACTGACCACATGTTACCGGTGACTACAAATGCCGCGCTGGAAAACAATCATTCAATACGATTAGTCAGTGTTACCTGGGTATTGTTGGATTCTGTTTTTTATATGCAAAGTATTATTGAGTTCATTCAAACCAAACATCCAATCGATGAATGATATGGTAATCAATTTGTGAAATTTTTACCACGGTCGATCAAGCAAAGTGACACGCTGTTATTGGAATGATAGTACATGTAAGCTTCAGCTAGTTTTCCATTTCTGATGTTTTGCATCATGTTCAAGCCATTACTTGGTACTGTGGCTAGGAAAAAAGCAAAAATCAGTTTATTTTTGTTAAGTTTAAACCAAAAGTGGTCCCAACCAATCCTATAGGTATGGAGGCATATTTCTGCCATCCACAAAATATATGTTGCCTACATATAGCATATCATGTAAAATCAAGATAACTATCTTGTCAAGTCATGACAACTTACTGCTTTGTCGACACACACCGACTTATATATTGTGCAGTCAGGATAAGCTACCACGTTTTGTTGCAATAGCTATCTTGACATGACGAAATAACGCGATATACAAGATAAATTATCATTCTCTTTTTGTTGAGATGCTGCTATTGCAAAAAATACGATAGCTTATCTGGACAGTGGTTCCAAAGGTTGTCAATGGGGATAAGCTCCCATTGTCTATATAAAGCTCCTTATGGCGTGCACCTCAAATAGCTTCTGACAACCAAAGTCCAGCTCCTCACCCGCTCGTGTGGCTTTCATCAAGTCCGGCAGAACTGCTACTACTGATAGGAGATGGGGTAAAGGTGAGTTACCTGGCGCCTGAAAACCAGTGCTTTGGGTAGATGGGGCTCATCAGTCTAGGAGGATAGCTCATCTAATTAAGAGAAGGAAAACTCTGTTTCCAAACTACCGCTGCCTTGCGGCCATACCAAACCACGGGAAAGGCTAGGTGAAGGAAACACCGACATGAAACCTAATGGGCAAGCTGTGCTCTATATCCAGGGAAGGAAAGCAGTCTAGGAATGAAACAAAATCAAACCACCTTTCCTCGAAGTTACTAGAGGTTTGCGTAGGGCCAACAACCCTGCCTATAAAAACAGCAAGTTACAGAAGCATCAACGACAAACCAAAACCAACATAACCTGGGCCAGATTGGGCCTACTTCAAGGGGAACTCTGATGCTGTGCAAAGAAAGCCGAAAGAAAACTTGCAGAGCTGACTTCCTTTCTGTCACCAGGAAAACCATCAGATTTGCTACTTGGGACATCAGAGCAATGAATGAAGTAGGAAGAACAGCACAGGTGGCAAAGGAGATGAAGCACCACAACATCTGTCTCCTAGGACTCAGTGAGATAAGGTGGCTACAGACGGGAAAGCTGAGGCTTACCACCGGGGAAACGCTGTAACAGTTGTACTCAGGACACACCAAGGAGGGAGCCCACCACACTGAAGGTGTAGGTCTGATGCTATCCCTAGAGGCACAACGTGCTCTCGTCGGATGGGAATCTGTCAATTACCGCATCGTAACAGCCAAGTTTAACACCAGGGAAAGTAAGATCAAGTTAAATATCATACAATTATATGTCCCCACAAATGATGCTGATGAGGAAAAGAAAGATGCCTTTTACCAACAACTACAGGCAGTCTTGGATAAAACAGGCAAGAAAGTCATGACAGTGCTCATGGACGACTTCAATGCCAAAATTAGAGATGACAACACAGGCTACAATGAAGTCATGGGTACACAAGGACTGGGCTACATGAATGAGAACGGTGAGTGATTTGCAGACCTATGCTCACTCAACCAGATGGTAATAGGAGGGAGCATCTTCAGTCATAAAAGAATTCACAAGGCCACATGGAGATCCTTTGACAATGTTACAGAGAACCAATTCGACCATATCTGTATTAACAAGAAATTTAGAAGAGGATGGAAAGATGTCAGGGTTATGAGAGGAGCAGACATTTTATCAGACCACCATCTGCTGATGACGGCATTAAGGCTGCGCCTCAAGAAGTTCAACAAAAAAGACAGAGATCAGGAGAGCAATTATTTAACTTAAAAATGGAAAAGCGACAGGGCCTGATGAGATACCAGCAAAAGCCATCAAAGCTGAGAAAGAGACAACCATTAACATCTTATACAACCTCTTCAACAAGATCTTGGAAGAAGAGAACATCATGGAAGAGTGGCCATGGAAAGAAGGTATCCTTATTAAGCTGCCAAAGAAAGGAGATCTAAGGTATATATTGCAGTAATTACAGGGGGATCATTGCCTGTCAGTGCCTGGCAAGGTCCTCAACACAATACTTCTCGAGAGAATGAAAGAAGCAGTGGACCTAAAGCTCCGTGACCAACAGGTTGGGCTTAGAGCCAACAGATAATGTGCTGACCAGATAGCCACACTGCGCATCATTATGCAGTCACTGGAGTGGAAGTCCCACCTCTATGTCAACTTCATCGAGCATGAGAAAGCATTCGACAGCGTGGACCGAGAGCCATTGTGGAAGATACTGAGGCACTATGGAGTACCAGATAAGCTAGTCTCCCTGATTCGAAACACCTCCCAAGGCATAATATGCAGGGTTGCCCAAGCTGACCAGATGTCTGATAATTTCGAGTTGAAGACAGAAGTTCGACAGGGATGTTTGCTGTCACATTTTTTTTTCTTTTGGTCATTGCTTGGATCATGAGGAGTACAACATCAGGCAGGAACAATGGTATTCTGTGGACACTCCTGACGCAACTCGACGATCTTGATTTTGCAGATGACCTGGCTCTCCTTTCACACAACCAAAGCAAGATGCAGGATAAAACAACTCGCCTTGCAACAACATCGGCAGGAACAGGCCTCAAAATAAACTTGAAGAAAACAGAATTGATGAAGATAAACACCACTGTCCAAACACCAGTCACAGTTGGTGATGAGCCCAGTCCTATTGCTAGTCCTATTGTATAGTGCAGAGACGTGGAGGATGACTAAAGCTACCCTGCAGAAGATTTAGACATTTTATAATACCTGTCTCTGGCGCATATTCAACATCCGATGGCCTGAAAGAATCTCAAATGAAGAACTATGGAAAAGAGCAGGAC